AAATGCCTGTCTTTGTAACCACAATAAGCATTCTCTGTATTTACACGATAGCCACGGCAGCCTGTGTTGGACTGCACGCCCACTACGTGTCAAACACAGCACCAGACATCCCACACGGATCACCTCTCATCCTCACAGCAACACGCGTAGTATCCTGGGCTCCATTTGACAGATGAGGCTCAGCGATTAGGCAGCTCACCCAATGAAAGACACAGATCCAGCCGTTGCTGCTTCCAGACCAGACACAGAGGCTGGAGCAGCATCCTTCCTACTTCCTACTTACATCTGAACATCACACCCTAGCAAAGTGTTCCTTGTCTGCAAAATCGCTGAGAAATCATAGAGAAATCCTATCATTAATATCCCATGAATGCACAACCATAATGACATAAAGCATGTTTCCTTGAAAAAAGACTAAATGACCCTGTACAGTAAGCACATTCACTTTACCTTTTAATGTTTAATATAATGCAAGAATATAATATTAATGAATCTCTCCTACTGAGAAGTAATTGTTGACAATGAAGAAGCTGGTAGGTACCACCTTAAGCACGTGAGAAAAGTTAACATCACCAGTAAAGGAATAAATCAAGATCACGTGACTCTTAACATGCTACACTGAAAAGAACACAGCATCACTTCTGAGGTGTCCTGTCAAAACATGCATCAACTGAATCTAATCATGAAGAAACACCAGACAAACCCAAACTGAGGGCCATTTGACAAAATAACTGATCTGTGCTCTTCAAAGCACCACGGTTGTGAAAAAAAAAGAAAGACTATTTCAGATTAATGAAGACATAACAACTAAATGATTCTAGATTAGATCCTGGACCAGACAAATGGCAAGTGGCAAAATTTGTATAAGATTTGAAAATTAAATAACAATATTGTGTTAATGTTAATTTCGTGATTTTCACAATTACACTGTTATGTAAGAGAATGTCCTTGTTTTTAGGAAATATATACTAAGGTACACCTAAAGATAAAGGGCATCATATCTACAATTTTGAAATATTTCAAAAGAAAGAGTGAGAAAAAATATATACAGAAATATTTTTGTAAATTTTTTGTAAGTCTGAAGTTATTTCAAAATAAAAAGCAAAAACAGAAAAGGACAAATTATGAACACATATTAAGTATTAAATAAATGTGAGCTCTAATATCCCTACTCATTTATTCCTAAGCACATAGAAGTATCAAATGAAGCCAACGCCTTGGGTCCTTAATAAGAAACCAGTCTGACAGCCTGATATAAGAAATTCTGGGATCCACAAATACTGTCCTAGTTTTTCCAATTCACAGTGATTCCACCCAAATGTAGCAGTGATACAATATCCCTCTATTTCTGCAATTACCATAGACACACACACACAAAAATCATTTCACATCACAAGTAGCCTGTGAGGAATAAATCTACACCAGGAAACTAGAGCACGATCAACTCGAAGGCACCATAGCAAACAGGAAAGGAAGCGGCTGAGCAGATGTCAATAAAGAAAGGTCCAAAAGTGAACAACACAAATGACACCAGGGACTCCCCTGTACCAACTTTTAAATTAAATTTACTTAAACACCCTAAGAACCTAAGACAAGCAAAGACATCCTATAACAAAGGTTTTCAACACAGGGTGATTAAAATAATATTTACTTCCTAATGGCCAAGCCTGCATGAGAAGTTTCAAATAAAGAACAGCACCGTTGCTTACCAACATCACGAGCCCGAGGGAGGGAGGGAGGGAGGGAGGCTCATCTGCTATTAACAGGAATCCTAAACAAGTGTATGCCAAGCATTTTGGGGATTCAAGTGAGTGAACAACAGAGTTTCCAATGGCCTCTCCTTGGTACACCCAAGTGTATGTGTTCACTGAGGCAGCAAACCTGTGTGGGCACTTCTATGAACAAGACATGCACTGTGATGGATGTCATTCTGGTCAGCACATCTGCCATGGAAGCTATGGGCAAGGAGCGGAGTGTAGCTAATACCCAAAGTGTACTTTAAAACGAGAATTATGACAGGAAAACAGCCAACTCAATGAAGCTAGAGAGCCAGAATAACAGTACTATGGGCCACTCTCTTCTATAAGATGTTCAAAGAACTCATTTAGAGTCTCCCTTTACTCCTCCATGTGACTCTGAGACATGGGGCCATTTTCCATTTGAAGGGATAGATGACGAAATAAGCTCTGAGGTTCAAGTCTAAAATCAAGGAGCAAGTAAATGGCAGAAGACATGGTTGAAAAATCACATCTCCCAAAACTCTAGCTTCTTGTCGTTTAAGATACACGTAAAATGGGATTTGGAATGCCCAGCACACTAATATGTAATAAATAATTTAAATATTTCTTTTAAAAGAAAGAAAACAAAGTCAGAGTCTGAACAGATTCTTCATTTTCTCAAACTGATGGAAGTCTCATACTTCCTTTCTCAAAGGAAAGTATGGGTTATGCAGGGAGAACTATAGGTGCTTCAGTTTAACTGGAGTTTAGAGTCTAAGACTGGAAGTTGCAATGGTGCCATGAATTCAAGGCTAAGGAGCTTGGCCTTTATTTGATAGGAACCTTTTTTTTTTTTAATTTTAACTTTTTCATTTATTTGCTCTCATGGTTGTTCTTGTTTAATTTTGGGAACCACTTTTCAGCAACCAAGTGACATGACCAGAAAGTTAATCTTGTGATACTGTCTAAGAAGGAACAGAAAGGAAGAATGAGGGAGAACAGTCAGAAATTGACTGCAATTGTTCAGTTAAAGACAGGAGGAAAACCTTCCAAGTAGGGATGTTGCAGAGGGAAATGTGCAGGGGACTCGGAGAGGGATTAGCTGGGGAAGAAAAGGGGGGAAGGAGGTCTCAAATATAAAAATAATCCCAGTGTCCTGAGGTCAGGTGACTCAGGAAGTAACAGAGCACAGGAAGATGAGACTTGGGAGGGAAGGTGAACCCTCTGGAATACTGCACTTGAAAAGCTGGTGGACCACTGCACAAGGAGCTGGAGGTATGAAACTCAAGCTCTGGAGAGAAAGCAGGCCTGGAAAAGCCCCTCTCTGGGAATAGCTATGGGATGAGACCAGATGAAACTTCTAGCAAAAAAAGCGGAGATAAAAATATATATATTCTTTGGGGACAGATACTGTACAAGCCAACAGCTTTCTAACAGCTTTTTTCAACTCTAGCTGACATTTTAGATCTCTGATCAAAAGACCCCATGCTAGACTCCAACACCCCAGGGAATCTCTCCAGGCTCCTCCTTCAGTCTTCTGCATGGAGCCCTCACACTTTCATTGGGCGGTTCTACTTCCTGTTGCTTCAAACTGAAGCTTTAGTTTCTGTGTGCTGTCCCTTGAGATGTGCCACTCTGATGGACCATCTGCCACGTTTTCACTTTTCCCTCAGAGAGGTCCCAAAGACCCACGTTGGCTCAGGTAGGTCTCTGCAGTCAACACAGCAATCCCCATTCCTAGCCCAGGCCCACAGCCCAGGAACCAGCCCACTCTCAGGAATTCTCCCGGTCCAGGAGAGGCACTCAGATACCTGTCCAGAGTGCGTCATTTCTCAAAGCCTTATTTTACAATCTGTTTTAAACAATTCAAAAGCATCAGCTAAATGTATTTCATACAAAATGTTTCAGACAAAGTAATGTCTGGAAGTTAACATTCTAAGTCAATTATACGTTGGCATGATGAGATGCAATCTCTAATACATATTTCTTTGCCAATTTTATTTACAGAGCAGACAACTCAGATTTGAATCAGCTTTCCCTATAACTATTAACTGTAAAAAAGAAAGAAAAAAAGGACCTCCCTTTCTAAATCTGTGACTACATAAATATTTTTAATTATAAATAGCTAATAAAATTTTAAAACTAGATTGGGGCCAGCCCAGTGGTGTAGCAGTTAAGTTCGTGCACTCCGCTTCAGGAGACTCAGGTTTTCGGGTTTGGATCCCAGGCGTGGACCAACACACCGCTTGTTAAGCCATGCTGTGGCGGCATCCCATATAAAGTGGAGGAAGATGGGCACAGATGTTAGCCCAGGGCCAATCTTCCTCAGCAAAAAGAGGAAGAATGGCAAGGGATATTAGCTCAGAGCTAATCTTCCTTGCATTTAAAAAAAAAAGTTTTTTTAAACGAAACTAAACCAAACCAGAGCTTAAATTTTGTTAGGTTTCATACCATAATGAAATCAGTAATTACAAATAAATAAAACTCTGGTAAATACATAAATAAATACCCTCACACATACATATCATTTTAAAAACCTAAAACCTAGAATGGAAAGTTTTTCAGGTAATCATTAACATAATTTAGTTAACAAGGTAGACTACAAAAGGGACCACCCGTCTTTAATAAGGAAAAAACTTATATCCCACAGATATTCAAAATAACCATTAAAAACAAGTTTTGTTTTTCATTCTGTTATTTCAAACTGTTTAAAAATGACTGTTCCGGGGCCGGCTCCGTGGCTTAGCGGTTAAGTGTGCGCGCTCTGATGCTGGCGGCCCGGGTTCGGATCCCGGGGGCGCCCCGAGGCACCACTTCTCCGTCCAGCGTGAGGCCGGGTCCCACGTACAGCGACTAGAAGGATGTGAACCTATGACATACAACTATCTACTGGGGCTTTGGGGGGAAAAAACTGAATAAATAAAATCAAAAAAAAAAAAAAAAATGACTGTTCCTTTTCTGTAAAATCCAAAGGATTCAAGGATATTTGCCTCATCACATAATAAGCCTCATCACAGTCCCCTCCCCTCTGACCTTCTTTAAGCAAAGCTGATAGATAGAAAAGCGAAATCATTTGAGTTTCACATTGTTTCCACACCCAAATACATAACAGCAAGCTGAGATAACCAAAAGGCAAAATGTAGTTATCTGAGTAATCACTAATTAGATAACCTCTAAATAGCATATCCTGAGTGTGTGGAAATCTTTTTCCTATTTTTCTCTGGGTTTCATTTCCCTGGGTGGGGAGCGGCTCCTGCTGGGTCCTGAGGGCTAGGCGCTTACCTTTTTGGCTCTTTGGGCTATGTCTGGTGTTCTTGTAAGCAGCTTCTCAATCAGATACTCTCTGTTCTGCAAAAGAAATATTCCCAACAGTTTAACATCAAACAGAATACACAGAAATTCATAGTGATTTCAAAATAGCAGATTTACTTGGGTTTTTAAGCACATTACCTTGGCTTTCTGGAAGAATTTGCATTTTAAAAGTTCTGCTGCTGTGGGCCTGAAAGATCAATAATAAATTAGAGTTGAAACAATGACCACTCAATAAATACACTGCCTTGATGAAACAACTTAATCCTAGAATATTTCTGCAAGACCAGTTGTGGGAATAGCAAAATCAGAAACTAAATTAATCACAAGCCGGCACCAAATAAAAGAGTGTCAATTTTCCAGTTCTTTCCAAACACCTCTACTGCAAAACATATAAACTCCTGCAAGTTAAATATTCTGGGGCACGATCAATTTTCCATCCTTCATCCTTACACTTCACTAAGTGAATTCAGTGTTTCTAAAAGGTGGCAGACTGACACGTTTGTGAGCTAAATTCCTATATTTATTAAGAAGCCGTACAAGTTGCAATGAGACCCTGTCAAAGGAACTGCAGTCCACAGTGTTCCATGACTCCCCAAGAGCGGCAGTTACCGCAAGGGGTCCACACAGCATGTGTACAAGCCCTGTCTGCCCACTGAGTAACATGGACCGCTGGTTTTCAGGGAAAGGTAAACGTGATGGTGATTAACAAAATGCACATTCATTTACAAGCATTACTGGATTGGTCTTTTTTTCCTCATGGGGTCATTTAACTTGCATCTCTATACTATATTTCCTATCAACTGAAAGTTAGGTCTCAAGGCTTGACTAGGTTGAATCAACCATTTAAGAATACTTCATAGATGACACTATACACTTCTTGCTGCAGCACATACGGAACGTTAGGTTATTTCACTGGGAGTGATGCTAAGATTAACCACTTGGTCCCCAGGCCCAAGATCTCTCCATTGTAAAGGTATGTTTCTCCCCCTTGCAATTGGCAAGTATTGTGTTGGGTAATACTTTGGCATTGTATAAGTATCATGTTCCCAAAAACCTTTCACCTAATGGATTTAGCATCTTTGCCTTAAATAATTATTTCATAGGAGATGGAAGAATACTGATTTCCTACTTCTACCATTCTTTCTATGTTTATTAACTGGCATTCCTCCATAAAGAATAGCTTCCTTCATCAATAGTTCCTTCTAAAAAAAGCAGCCATTCAGAAGGAATCAGATAAATCTAGGGTAGAGGACAATCAGCAAGACAATTGACCTGATCTCTTCAAAAAGTCAGTGTCATAGAAGGGGAAATGTGAGGGGACTGTTCTAGATTAAAACAGACTTAAAGAAACAGAAAACCAAACACAATACGTGACCCTTGGCTGAATCCTGCATTTGAAGGAGAAGTGAGGGAAGCCACAAGAGACATTTGGAAATAATTAGAGATATGTAAATATGCTAGGTATTAGACCATTTTAGGAAATTACTGCTCCTTATTTTAGGTGTGGAAAAGTATTGTGGCTAAGTAGGAACATGTCTTTATTTGTAGGGAATGCAATGTTACTTTCAAACTGCTCAGCAAATAAAATGTGGGTAAATAGATACAGCAGATATGGAAAATATTGGTAATTGTTGAATCTAGGTGGTGATATATAGAAGTAAACACTGTACTATTTTTTCACCTTTTCTGTATGTTTGTTTTTCCCCCCCAAAGCCCCAGTAGATAGTTGTATGTCATAGATGCACATCCTTCTAGTTGCTGTATGTGGGACGCGGCCTCAGCATGGCCGGAGAAGCAGTGCGTTGGTGCGCGTCCGGGATCCGAACCCAGGCCGCCAGTAGCGGAGCGCGCGCACTCAACCACTAAGCCACAGGGCCCGCCCTTTTCTGTATGTTTTAAATTTTTGATAATAAAAAAATTGGGAGGGGACGGAAGCATTACTGAACATCACTAGGTATTCTCTCAGGCAATGATTACCAAAGATACAAATAGTATTATGTTGAGGGAGGTGCATGTTTAAAAGGAGTCCTCATACTTCAAAAGATTGGAAACCACTGCTTTGGAACCAGGAAGCTCCACTAAAGTGTTTCCAGGGACCAAACCCAGGCATATAAAAGAATTCGGAAACGTCATTAAGCGCAATGGTGTACAAATTGTGTAAGTCTACAGGGGCCATAAACTCTATTTCTGGGCAAAGAAATTTTCTATTTAAATTGTTATTGCTCTTTTCCTCAATTTCAAATGGGTCACTGGTCACAGGTTCCTAACAAAGAACCCTGACTCCTCATATCCACTGCAATAAACAGCCGCTAATTGCTAATTGCTTTGAGTAAGTAAAGGTCTAAACTACAGGTGGGCCACATTTTACATTTTTATCTGCCATAGCCCTTGGTGAGCTGGTTCAAATTCATGAATTTGTACCTTGTTAACCAGGCGCTGGAACTAAAAATGATACTCCTACTTTACATGATTTAACTTTGGCTGTTATTTTAATGGACACTCTCACTGATCATCAGCAATGTTTTCGGCCTCCAGCTACTCCAAAGTCATCCTTTCATTCTCTCGGTAAATATTTTTTGAGCATCTACTATTTGTCAGGCATTATGCTAGGTGATAGGCATATAGTAAATATGACAGACATAAATACTACCCTCAGCAACTTACAATCTAGCAGATAAGGGTTAGAGCATGTGGTTAGACTGTCAGAGGAAGGTCAGAACATTCAAACACTTGAATCGTGTTTGGGTGGAAGGAGCAGGCTACTGAGAGAACATATTACACAATGGACTGAGCACGCTTGGTACCTCACAATATGAAACAAAATTTTAAAAACCAAGGGGCATACAAAAATAAAAAATTTTTAAAAAGTGAAAAGAGGGGCCGGCCCAGTGGCGCAAGCTGTTAAGTGCGTGCGCTCCACTGTGCAGCCCGGGGTTCGCCGGTTCAGATCCCGGGCGTGCAGTGACACACTGCTTGACAAGCCACACTGTGGCGGCGTCCCATATAAGGTGGAGGAAGATGGGCATGGATGGTAGCCCAGGGTCAGTCTTCCTCAGCAAAAAAAGAGGAGGATTGGCAGATGTTAGCACAGGGCTGATCTTCCTCACAAAAAAAAAAAAAAAAAAAGTGAAAAGAAACCTAAGAAAATGAAGATGATTAAGGAACTTAAGGCCACTGTTATGGTTGAAACCCCTCTGTTGTGTATTGCCTCTGGCTAATACAGTTACAAAAGCCTCCTGGCTAGTCTCTCTGCCATTTCTCTCTTCCTCATTCCAACCCATCATCCACACTGCTCCCAAGTTAGCTTCTAAAAAAAAAAACAATTTCTTATCGAATTTCAGTGGCCTGAGAGATCCTGACTCCTCCAGACTTGTCTCCCATCACACCAGAGGTGAACTCTATCCTCCAGCGACAATGATGTTCTCACTCAACTCTTGCTCTTTCGTGACTAAGCACACACTGCTTTTCTTGCTTCAGAATTTTCTGTAACCAACTGGCACACTCTTGCTCATCTGTCAAGAACCGATCTAAATGTCATCCGTCTTCAGAGATACTTCTCCCAGCTCGTCCAAGTAGAATTCATTGCTCCCTACTTGGTCCTTGCACACCAATCTACTCACACTCCCATTCTGTAATAATCTGTACCTATGTCTCCCGCCTCCACCCCACTGAGTTATAAGCCCTTCCAAGACAGGGACCACACAGTATTCATTTTTTATATCCCCAATGCCTAGCACGGACCATAAAACTGCTATAGCTCAATTTCATACTATAATCAAATATGGGGTAAAAGTGATGCTACTAGACATTCGGACACAGAACCACAACTCGTAGAGCTAGATTTAGTCAGCACCAAATTCTAAGCAACTGCCCCATATAGTAGGGAATAGAAATATAATGTAATGAAAATAAGACTCAAGGTAACAAAAAAAAAAAAAGGAAAGGCAAAGTGTGTGCACAGTGGAGGTACTGAGGTGGAGAGCCAAAATGCTTTCTCCTCTGTGTCCCCCCTTCTTCTGCACACTAAGGGTCAAGTGTAGGACCAATGTAAAGGGAAGGCTGGGAAATGCCAGACATGCCTTGAGATACAGGGCTGGGAAAATACTCTCCCTTCCCCAGCAAGGTCATTTCTATGGTAACCAAAACTGCAAAGAGGAAAAGCACGCTGCAGAGAAAACTCCTTTCTCTGCACTCCACTCTTAGACTTCATCAGTAAATACAAAAACACAATCATATAAGAAATGAGAAATGGTTTAAAGAAGCCACATTCCTCTTTTTAATAGGCTTAATATTTATGTTAAATAGTAGGTAATTCCTACTTTATACAGAGAACTAAATAGCAGGTCCTTTTTATGCTTTGGGGTAGAATCCTACACGTGCCAAACTATACCCATAAGAAAGTACAGAAAAATGGATCTGGAAAGAATGGGGAAAATGAGGGAGGAAGAATGTGATAGAAGGTATGAGAAAAGCCGAGGTGCATGCTGTTAATTTTTTGTGTGTTTTGTTTGTTTTAGTCTTATGCTCTAGCAACTAGCAGCGTACGGTTAACGCGGAACCATCAATGCTGCCTGCCTCTTAGCTGAGTACTACAGGAGAAAGAACTCTGCAAGCCCAGTTATGTCTCCCATACCCACTAACAATTATCAAGCAATACAATGTAATACAAATACAAACACTGTTTTACAAGAAATGTTAAAACACTATACCAGCAACCAAAATGATGTCCAGATTTTGAATGATGATTCAATTTTAAATCCTTAAAAACAATGCAGTATTCTCCAAGCACCAACAGTCTCAGAAGAAAATCTCTCAAAGGATTCAGTTAATACATATGGATGAGCCCAAGTCCACTGAGACTTAAAATAATTTTCAAAGGATTCAGGATGAATATGATACAGTTTAAATAGTTCAAACAATTTGCATTATAATTTCTAACAGCTCACTGACCTCAGGCAGAGCTGCACTTCCCACCCTCCCCCTCCTGCCAAAAGAAATACTCAAGTTTTATTCATTTCTAATGGATTTACCTATGCAACATCCACCCCTTTGTTGCTCAAAGAAAACGCTGGTTCCTTTTATGGTTGCCATCCCTATGAAGCATGTAATCTACAAGATTAAGGCTCATTTTTTTAAGAAACAGCAAAACGTTCTGCTATGCAAATATAAGCAACTCTTTGTCTATGCCAATGCAGAGCATAGACTTCGATGAGGCAAAGAGCTCCAACACCCCAGCTCTCTTATATTAGGAAAATTCCATGAGCTCTCAAGATTGACAGAAAACACAGCCCCTTCTCAGCTAGCCTGAGGGCTACTGAATAGGAGTGACTCTGTCCTGGTCACTGTTCCCCTACAATATTTTTTCATTCATTGCTGAAAAGATACTCAGCAATACCAGGGCTTTGGTACCAGTCAACTGCTTTCAGATTATAAGCAGATGATCTCTATGTAGGCAATAGAAATAAATATAAAGTATCAAAAATCTTGCATTCACTCCTCAATCCACTCGAATCTGGTCTGTTTCTGAAAACTCTTTTCAATGGGTCCAAATCATCCCAAAATTGCAAGCTCTGAATCATCTCCAGTTGTTCAAGAAATACTATTGAGTATGTAATGCAGACCACACACTGTGGCTATAAAGATATGTGGCACAGGCTCTCCTTCTAAAAAACTTACAAACTGATGAGGAAATTGGATGTGTTAAGTCAATAAATGTACACAGTGTGGTAAGTGCTACAAGAGACCTATCCTCAACGTGCTGTAGGAAAACTAATAGTTGTGATAACTCCACTGGGTCAGGGAAAAAAAGGCAGACAAGGAATGCAACCCCAATTTTCTGAGTACTTAGGAACCCCAGGCACTGTGCCACCTGTTTTAAGTGCATTATCTCACTCCATCCTCACAGCAATCCTACAAAGTAGGTGTTATTAGGCCCATTCTACTGACGATGAAACTAAGTCATGCAGTTGAAGATAAAGAAGTCCAGCAATCTCACCCAGATGTATCTAACTCTAAGAAAATGGGGCTTTTGAACTAAGTGTTGAAAGAGGTGGAAGGGAGAGACAGGAAGAGGAGGCACCTTGGACAACATAAGCAAAGGCAGAGAGGACCGGAAATATGCAAAGTTTCTTTCAGAATTGCGCTGCAATTAAATGTTTACTTATTATTTCAGTAATGAATACATATTTTAAAATTGCCTCCTATATAATAAATAATTCAACAATATTGCTTTTTTCCATTCTCACATCTCATGAATCTTTTTTTTCCCCCAAACTCCCCACATCCATATCTTTTCATTACGAGAAAGTGTCACCTGGGAAGTCTGTGCACCACCAACACTCTCTAACTGTCTGTTATAGTGGACAGTTACACAATAGTGAGTATAGATTACACTACAGAGAAAATATCTAAAAGACTACCTTAAACTATTAATACTTGTAGATCAATAATGTTACTAAGAGAGTACTCTGAGGGAAAGACTTTGTAAGAATTCAAATATATGGTGTATGGCTCTTTTTTTTTGGTGGGGTGGTAGGAATCTGATATTTGACTCATAGAATAAATAAAACCTGGAAAGACTTTCAAGATTATTAAGTAATAAGGATCATTTGTTAAATATAATGTATGATGATCTAATCTATTTTGACCAAATTACAAATCTCTGAAATATATTGCGATATTGTTAAGTACACTAACAATTCTACCCTACAGAATCATTTTCTTAAAAAGCTGAAATTGTGTGATATTACACATCACCACCATTAGGTGGGACCTCAACTAGTTTGAGAATCACAAAGACCATCAATAATAACCCAGTGCAAACTGGGAAGACAAGTACTTCTCTCACTGGAGAATCAAATTCTGTTTCCTTGGTGATGCCAAAAATTTATGTTTGAAGATGACATCAAATACAAGAGGAAGGCAAGCAAGTATTGAAGAAGAAAATCAGAATCTAAGAGCATTTTCACCCAATAGGAGAGTGAAAAAATAACCTCAATGAAAGATCACTATGACTTTGGAGGGAAAACAAGCCATGCAAATCAAATATAACGGGCCACTGAGATGTTTAAGCAGAAATAGTCTATAAGTGTGACAAAATAATCATACCTTTTACAATAAATAATTTCAAGATGCTTAACAGCAAACATCTATTTAGACCCAGCTCCACGAGAAAGGTGACTGATGGAGAAAACATTCAACGCAAATTCAGTAAGATGTAAAGAAAAGTAGAGAGAGGCTACAAGAATGGGTAAAATAATAAAAATTGTGTTTAATCTAGAGAAGGGTAGCCTACTCAAAGAGCAGATGACCACGTAAAGGTAAAAGGCTCAGGTTTCATAAAGAATTTAAGATAAGAATAAAGGAATCATTCTAAAAGCAGGGTCCTTCCCTGAAAAAGAAAGTTTCAGAAGAGAAGCCAGTTTTTGGACCGTTGGGTGGATGAAGGTAGCCAGTAACTTCTCAGAGGCCCCTCCAGGTCTGGAATCTCCGTTCACTGTATGTTGGGATGGTGCCACACGCAACCAAGTCCTACAAAGGTACTCTACCCAGGCAAGGCCTGTGTGTGGTTCACATCGTTAACATTCTCCTTTAAGTGACAGAGGACACTGGGCTCTATTATCACTATCCAGGATATTTCAAAGTCACAGAAATTAAGAAGGAAGAAAACAAACTTAGAAAACAGATACAGTAAAGTGCAAGGCAATAACCCAAGAATAAAGAGGAAAGACTGTAGTCAATTTAAAACCATTTGCTTCTGTTTATATGATTAACCTTTCTAACGTAAAAATCTTAAATCTTCTTTATTGATAATCTTTTAAACAGCACAAACAACTTGTTCTGCAACTAAAAGGAAGCTCATGCAAAATTCAATAGCTCTGCCTGGTTTAGACTGGAGCGAGCAGGATATAAAATCCTAAGAGGTCAGCTCAACCTACACAGTGCAGAATACTAGCTCAGCTTCTGAATGCACCACTGCCAACTTCTTTTGATTTCTGCTTTATTTCATTTCCTTTGATAACAGAGCCCACACCTAACAAGCACAGTGAATCTCATTAACACTAAAAATTTTCCTCTGCCTCTCCCTTGTCCTCACTCACTTCTCTCCCTTTTGGACCCATGCCGTCTTTCATTAACAGGTTGGAGATCTGGGGGCCAGAGCAGGATTTCCCTTGAATTAGAAGTACCTGTCAGGTGTCCTCACACAGCCTTTCCGCATCCACAAACAAAGCTCTGTGGTAACTCAAACCAGGTCATTAACTCATCCACTAAGTTGGACATACCTTTTGGAAGGATCTTTCTGAAGACACAGTGAAAGTAATTTTCTAAAGGACTTGCCGTACTTTTTCATCATTTCCTTATCCTCAACTCCTGTTTCCAAAGTGGGTGGATCATTTTGCAAAGTCAACATTAACACCTGCAGCAGAAACAAACATGAAGACACAATCTCAGTACAGCAATTGCTACAATCGAGTTTTTAATTTCTCCCAAAAGCATCCAAGAACATCCTTGATTAGGTACAAACGTGCTTTCCCATGAGTTTAAATTTCCAGAATGCGTGTATCGGAAGTACTCATTCTCTTTGCAAATCTGTCCATGTGCCCTTTGACCTTTTCGTTATTCCATTGACAGAACTTACAAAATCTGCTCTGTGTGTTAAGAGCTCCCAAAACGACCAGGACGGAGCTTCCTGGGAAGGAACTGGCTCTCACACAGCTCAAGGAGCACGTAGCTCCAGCAAGAGCTTAGTGAAGGCTGGGGCTCTGGCTGGGAAAGGGGGTGGCAGAGGGGAGAGAAACAGAGGCCCAGAGCAGCAGTGAACATTCATGTGTCAGGTCATTCATAAGTAAGGAACTGCCTGTACTCAAGGCTTCTGTAACACACTGCCAACCCTAAAAATAAATCCACAACATCCCAGGAGGTAACACATGATTTCCCTTTTTTTTTTTTAAACAAGAAAACATACAGAAAATTGCTTAAAGACTTGGCAAAATTGAGACAGTAAGACACTAAAAAATAGCCAGAATACAACTGAGTTACTAAAAAATCATAACCAGAGCAAAATGGCCATGCTGCTTTTGGAGGGGGGACAAAAACAAAATCAAAATACAGCTTCAAATCAAAAAGGTAAAAATTCCACTCTTTCGCACTAACATCAAAAATATTTGCTTTACAAAAGAGTAGAATTTACAGTAAACTATCGATCTACAAAATGAATAAACCTCTTAATGTATAAATCAGCCTTAATTTACGCAAAGCTATACAGGTCAAGACTTTTCAAACACTTTCAGATGTGTGAAGAGGTAAAGGATTAAAGTGACAGGTGATGGTCTGTGGAGGATAACTGCAAACAGAAGAAAGTGGGAGAAGTGTGAAGTCTGAACAAAAGTCTGGCAGGACCTCAGGCTGGGATGAGCAATGTGACTTTGGATTCAGGTGGGAAACACTAAGGATTGGGGAAAGAAAGAAAATAAGAAACAAGAAAAAATAATACAGAAAAACCAGATGGAAGAAAAAGTCCTCAGAGTGGCTTCAGTACTTTTTCTCAAAAGGTCACGGCGTTTGTTTACACCTTAACTTTAAATTTTCTGCTAAAAAAATCAGGTATGTATACATACCCCTCCCCCAAAATTTTAACTATGTTAAAAATATGTTTATAAATATAGAGAAAAACAATGTAATGAACTATACTAAAACCTTAATAAGGATTGTCTGTGGTTGATGAGATTATGGATAATTATTTTCTTCTTTATTCTTATTTGTACTTTCAAATTTTCTACAATAAGTATGTATTAACTTTTTAATCAGTAAACTTATTTAACTTTTTTCAGCCTCAGGGTTTCCTCCTAAATTTTTCCAATATTTTCCTAGGAAAAAGTTGAAACAAATACGGACCATATTGTCTGTAAAATACCTTCATAATTTCCACTGAACTATTTCAGCCTCAAAACAAAATCCAGTTGGGTAAATTAGCCCTGATACCATCAGAACTAAGAGAAATAATGATGTAGGCCAGTTAAAAGAGTAACAAAAAATCTGAAAATAGTATCCAAACATATGGTTTCCTAAAAACATTAGGCTCACTTATTTCAGATGAGTCACCAACATGACACTATGAGAACAGGGGAGAAATGTTATAGACCCTTAAAAAAAAAAGGCTGAAAATTTGGGAAATCTATCTGCAAAGATGGTATCACTGTAATCTATTTTTAGATTTCCTGGGTGGGGGGCGTTGGGGGTATTCTGCTATCAAGAGAGTAATGAACAGCATTCGTGACAGCTATCAACCTCCATCGACCAAGCTGATCACATTCTTGAGTCAGCTCTGTGCTGAGAATGTACAGTGAGCTTCAGAGCCGGGAAATGTACTACTTTTGTCCTATTCCTTCCACTGAGAACATCACACAACATTTAACTTGGCGGCATTCCTCCGTTAATTCCCCTCAGGTCTAAGAGAAAAATGACTATGTTTAAGAGAATTACAGAACAGATTCCCTTAAATCATATTTCAAACCCGACATATTACTGCCAATAGTAATTACTTTCATAGGCGGATACTTGTGATAAGGCGCTGCTCCTGTTGCCAATTCAATGGCAGTTATTCCAAAACTCCACATGTCAGCCTTGAAGTCATAGCCTCTCACCTAAGAAAGGAACCAGGGAAAAACAATTATACAGCAGGCATGTTACACATCACGGAGTCCATACCATGTCGCAAGTCCACAGCTGTGTATGCACAACTTTGACATTACTTTGCTAAGGCCCAGCAATCGGGAAGTAAATCTTAGTTACATGATGCACTCTAGTAAAATGATAGATATGAATGAAATGTTAGCATATTGATGATACGTACTACTGAACTATGTCAATCAAAAATCAGAATATCACTTTTTTTTTTTTTTTACCTGTTCCATGACTTCAGGGGCCATCCAACACGGGGTGCCAACAAATGTTTTTCTTACTTTATTCCGAGTAACATCACCCCCTGTTGCTAAGAATGCACTCACCCCAAAATCTGAAAGAAAAAAAAAAAAATCACTCATTTTATGTAAGACATTATTGCTTACAAATTCTGACCTTATGAACATCTCTCTTCCTGGTGAGCTTTACCGTGGTGAAGAATTGTTCCAAACATCATGGAGCTCTCTCACGTGTACACCAGGGCAATCCTGCCATCTGTTACCCTCTACACTTTAGAGAACACCATCTCAGGTAATCGGTCAGCAAGCCCAGCAGCCCAAAAGCTCAGCATACCAAATTATATTTTCTTTTCTTTCTTTTATTTTTTTATTTTTTTTTTTTTTTGCTGAGGAAGACTGGCCCTGAGCTAACATCCGTGCCCATCTTCCTCTACTTTATACGGGACGCCGCCATGGCATGGCTTGACAAGCGGTGCGTGGTGCATGCCCAGGATCCGAACCTGGGCCGCCAGCAGCAGAGTGTGCTCACTTAACCGCTACGCCACGGGGCCAGCCCCCTAAATTATATTTTCTACCCAAAAGGTATCAAAAGTCATAATTAACCATAAAGGATTGCATCAATAAAAATACAAACACATTCCCAAAGCCCTAAATATAAAAGATCTTAGCTTTTACTGAGATTCATTTTAGAAAATCATTTATACGAATAGCAGTGGAGGCGGTTAAAACTAGTAAGTGATGTAGTTTCTTTTTATGTTTTTCTTTGATCATGATTATTTTCTAGCTTCTTTGATTCTACATCATCAGTGTTTGAGGGAGTAGATTTTTTTTTAAATAAAGGATGAATAACATTCATCTGCCACATTCCCATGCCCTTGCTTAAGCAGTGCTCTCTAACACCTTAGCCAGAATCGTAATGGCAAATCCACAAATCCAGGTACATAAAGCCAACGCGCCCAGGTCTGTCCACACGTAGCAATCAACACACAGGAAAAACTCAGTCAGCAAAGATTTTTTTCTTTTCAATGTTTGCTTTCTGGATAATTCTCCTAGGTATAGATGGAATAGTTTGTAGAATGAAATAATCCTCTTCTTCACATCCATTATACACTAGAAGTTCTTTTTGTGAGAAGATGAACTAATTAGGCTTACTGTATATACGTACATGCATATACACAAAAATGATGTTTGTATGTGACAGGAGAGAAGGGATACCCAGTGATTATTAATGCATACATTTCTGCTTAGATTAGTTTACTAAAGGTTAAAATTAGTTAATAAGTTAAAGTACCAATTGCTTAGGGCTAGTATAGACCTACAGTAAGAGCCAACTCAAGGACAGCTTGATAGCAAGCTAGTAAATAGTAATTAAAAGACAGTCAACACCTCAAAATGCTGCAGCAGACTATGTAGTGTGAGCCCCTTCAAATTGCTCTCATATAATTCTCCTTTGCTGGATCCCTTTGTTGATTGCCGGGAGGACGACAATTACCAAAGAACAAGGTCCAGTGCAAACCAAGGTCAAAAATGTATTAGCATTTGCTTTAGATCTACAATATTAAGTTATGCAGTAACACTGTAACCAGTTCCCTGAGTTGAAATATGTTGTCTGTTTCATTATATTGACATTTAAATTTACTCAACTCCCAACAGGATTTCAACTACAAGTAAAGGGAATAAAAATTGACAAATGGAGACTTTGTTCCAACTGCTACTCTCATGTTAGTATTGAGCAACAGTGTATTTTGAAAATGCTCTATAATTTCATTTGCACATATGTGCCAAACTCTAAAACTTTGAATTCTTATATTGCAGTCAGAAAAATAAAGCCTTGTGAAAAGAAATCTCTGGAACCAGTGAACCAGTCTCCTGTAGGTAGGAGGAGATAAAATCCATTCTCTTACAGAAGAGCTAATTGAATTGAATCATTTGTAAGCATCTACCATATTCGGCTAGAGGAAAAGACAATATGATAAGGCTTTCAAAAATATTAACTTCAACTTAATTTATACTTCTGAAAAGCAGTTCAACAATAAATCCAACATTCCATTTTTATTAAAGTAATTCTGTAACATGATAATATTAAATAAATACATATCAGCTGTAACTAATTAAGGATATGGGTAAAAGTTGCTTTAAGGAAAAAGAGATTCTTTTAAGTGCAGTTGAAGTAACCCTACAGCCCAAAGTCTCTTCCTAAAAGATATAATCCAGATAAAAATCCATAGTTATTATTAGATTTTTTTTAATTTCTTAAAAATACCATCTGATTACATTAGACTCTTTTAAATCTGCAAAAACAGCTGAGAAAGATGCATAGTAGCAATTCGCTATTGATAATGCCCCTTCAATGTATCTTTCATGATTCACATATTTATTCATAACCTCCACCTAGAACACTCAAATTTAAAGTCATAAACAGATGGTTAAACGTCTTTACAGCTCAAAACAAAAATTCCAGAAGGAGAAAACACCAATGGTAACATCTACTCACTCTTATGACTTCAGAATAAATACACAATTTGCTCCTATGTATGGCTAATGTGTATAAAGAAAGATTTATACGTACTGAGAAACAGAACACTTGGAACACAGTACATAGCGTGCTTGTATAAACAGGAAAACTGGTATATTCTGTAGTCGAGACAGCTCACATATGACAGTGAGAACGAGGCGGTGGAACAGTCACAGTGAAAAGCGCCCTTGTTTCCGAAGGGTACATCTATACAGCCAAAGGGAGTGGAGCCAGACACACTTGGGTCAGAAACCATGGACATTTCTCTGGCAACACGGAATCAAAGGCTTCACATAACGTTAGCCAGCCCATCTTCCTGCCTCCAGGAATAACTGCATCTCTAACCAGAAAGAATGCTGTCATCCCGGTAACTAAAAGGCCCTCGTATCTTTTGAATCCATCCACTTCTCTCCTTCCCCACTGCCACTGCCTTGGTTTCAGCCAAAATTCCTGTGGCAGCTCCTAAGTCATCACCCTCTTCTTTCCCCAGATCCATGCTCCAGCACCCAGGCCTTGCTATGTCACAGACTTGACCCTTCCTTACAAGTCTTTAGAGGCTCCCTGCTCCCCCAAGAAAAAGTCAAAATCCCTCAGCATAACATGCAAACCTGACTCCCCTTTCCTCTCCCGCCTCATTTATCACTACTCCCAATTCAGAATTTGAGCTCCAGCCCTGCTAAATTACTTCCTTTTTATTCCCTGAACCCATCACCCTCCGTGCCCTCACCAGTGTTGCCTTTGCACCAGAAGCTTTGTCTTTGTCCAGGTACATGGTTCCCTCCACTAAGGGAAGGGCCATCAGCAGAGGACATTCTGCTTCTTCTTATTAAGGATGAAAGCATCCTAGGCATCCTGACTCTTGATGCCTTGGGGCTTTTTCACAGCTGCCTTTGTGTTAGAGTGTGGTTAATTTAATATGCATCCATCTCCTTTGCCTAATTTGTGGTGTACGATTTACATAACTTCAGGAATTGTCTTATTTTGATAAGTGAATGCTAAGCCTTGAAGAGGATCTGCAGGATTTTGCAGTACAGATACCTGATTTGGAAAGTGGTAAATCCTCCAGGAAATAGCACAATGCTAACGGGCAAGGGCTGGGTAGCCAAGTGGTTAGGCCGAAGACAAAGGTACTACCCAACCATGGGACTCCAGAGAGGCACTTAACCTTTCTGGGCCTTGGTTTCCTCATCAGGCTTCTTGGTTATGTCTATTTTTATATTACTTTCAGATTGATAACACTCTCCTACTTCTTCTCACCACGTATAGATCTGCTTTACAATAATTGTTAGGTAGATCAATAAGCTACTGTTCTCTGCCTTTTAAAAAACAAGGCAACTTGGGCCAGACCAGTGGTGTAGTGGTTAAGTTCGCACACTCTGCTTCGGTGGCCTGGGTTTCGCAGGCTCAGATCCTGGGTGTGGACCTACACACCACTCATCAAGCCATGCTGTGGCAGCATACAAAAAATACACATACAAAAAATAGAGGAGGAGGGGAACAGATGTTAGCTCAGGGCCAATCTTCCTCATCAAAAAAAAAAAAAAAAAAACAAGGCAACTGGGCTGAACATTAACATTTTTACAGTGGTAAATATAAAATATGAGAAAGATATATTTCCTGACCTTAAGAATATTACCATCTTGGAGTGAGTGAGAGGATGTGAAACAATAAAACACGAGAACAATGTGTAACATCAAATGCCGTGCTCTGCTGTCTGTATAGACGAAGAGGAGCTAGGACCATAACCTCCATAAAAGACTCTGCATCCAAGTGGGCCTTGGACCTGGCCTTGAAGATGAGGTTAAGATTTGGACAGGCAAGCCTAACAGGAAACAACGCTCTAGACAAAGAAACAGCATGAGCAAAGCACAAGTGTTGAGCCAAGAAGAAAAACTGCCCGACAGCTGCGGGGGTCAAAAACTCAGACACCTACAGGGGCCAGGCAGGAAAATAAAGGAGTGAAGAGGTCCTGAAAACCAACAGCACCACCTCAATGATCAAGACCTCTTGATACTTAGTCTCATCCTAGGGAGACATTAGGAAGTGCTGGGCCTGTCCCAGGAGCCATTCTCAATGCCCTCCCCGCTAGGTCTAAAGCAGGCTGCTGCTATCCAGTGGGGAAAGAAAGCTGCCATAGAGGAATATGGACCTGGTGCTGCAGATGTCCTAGTTTTCCAAGAGAAAGCTAAACATTGAGATCTTCATGCAAAACCTCTCTTTCTTGTTGTTGTTGGCAACAAATTCATTTTTTTAAAAAAGTGGAAACGCAAAATAAAGCAATTCTGCCTGTCCGATTTAGCCTGCAAAACTAGTTTGCCAACTGTGTTGTTATGATGTCTAAAATTTACCTGAAATACTTCAACATACACCACGCAATATTATGTTTGTGATACTGCAATCCAAGAAGACAACTGGCATTCTGTGTCAGAATGTCCAGTGCTGGAAGGTTCTGGTAGCATCTGATTCAGGATGCCAGAGGCAGCTTCCAGAAGTGTTTCTGTTATCCGTATCTAAGCATAGATAAGTATGAGCCAAGTGAATGCCCAAAAGGCGTTATTATTGGGGAAAATAGTGACCTGT